AAAGTCTCTACTGAAACCATTTGAATCTCAGGCCACATTCCTCCTTCTGTTAAGAACAATGGCCCTCTCATGTTACACTGTCCTTGAGTAGACATTTGTCAGTTTTAGCTCAGGACCTGAATAGTGGGAGCAGCTCTTTCTCGTCCCCAGGTATAAGTGAGGCGTACTACTGTTTTCTTCTGGTCTTGATCTGAGATTGTTGCAGTGATGTAAGACAGATTGGATAAATCTTACTGATAATAATAATATAATGCATTGATTTTATATAGCTCTTTTGTGAACACTCAAGGACGCTTCAAGCGTCATTATTCTTTGACTCCATACACGGTGGTGATAAACTACTACAGTTGCCACAGCTGCCCTGGGACACACTGACAGAAGCGAGGCAAATAGTGTGTTTGAAAGTATGAATGTTTTAATTAGGGTTGTCAAAATTATTGCATAAATTGGGCGGCACGGTGGCTGAGTGGATAGCACTCTTGCCTCTCAGCAAGAAGGTCCTGGGTTCGAATCCCGGTCGGACCAGGGCCTTTCTGAGTGGAGTTTGCATGTTCTCCCCGTGTCTGCGTAGGTTTCCTCCGGGTACTCCGGTTTCCCCTACCCCTAAAAATATGTACAATAGGTCTGGCATGCGCCTCCTGTTCGGTGACCCCGCTCCCATCTCTGTCTGGAGTGAGAGGACCAATGCCCAAAAAATAATAATAACAATTGTAAACCGCTTTGTGACCCTTGTCTGTGAAAGGCGGTATATAAATAAACATTACTTACTTACTTACGTTAGCGCACGTTAATTATAATGGATTTATAGATTTTAATGGATTTTATGTGATTTTATTGTAAAGAACTTTGGTCGCCTTGAGTGTTGTAAAGGGCTCTATAAATAAAATTGATTGACTGATTGAATATAAGTCTGACAATATTCAATAATGAGATATTGTCTTAAATAATCTGTTAAAATTACTAAAGATGTTGTTGTCCAGCTGAGCGAAAACATCACAGATAACAGTACTGTTATCGGTACGGTTGACATATGTTCAAATACTCCCAAAATAGTCATAATTTTGTATTCATAGTGCATTCTGTAAATAATTGAGAACAAAAAGAAAAGTATTCTTTGGTAAGTTATGTAATTTTGCACTGCAATGCACAAGGCACACAAAGAACCCCAGACAGACATGAGTGATTACTATGGTGAGGGAGTTTCACACCAGGTTCACTCTGAAAACACCTCTCCTTTTATGTTTGCGTCCTTGTCGTCAGTAAATCTTTACCCTGTCACTGTGTTTGTTCACTTGTGCTGCTCGGTTCAGCAAGGGTCAAAATGCAAATGTATTTTTTAAGCAACAAAAGGTCTTCTGATAATCACCACATCTGTATTACATCAAATCTTGCACCAAGATAAATGAGAGATAGTCTTTGTGTTAGGGGAATAGTCGATGCATAAGCAGAATGGTTCCCAACAAAAACGCTGAGGCGAAGGAAAATTCTACACTCACTGTTTTTGTGTAAGGTGCAGAACTGGAAAAGGTATTACAAGTAATGTGGGCCTCATATTAAGGACACGGAAGACTTTATTTTGTCCTCTCAATAAGGGCTGTAACAAGTTAATCAATGTATCAAATCTTATCGATGGTTGAACTTGTTGTTAACACATTTAATAATCAATCAATCAAACAACTAGTCATTTCTATGAAGATGTTCCCCAGGGGTATCACTTGAGCTTTGATTGGTCAAATGTATAAACAAAAAATCCCATGCTTACTAACCTTTTGGGATCGAAACAACTAACTGATTAATCAGAAGAACAATCGGCAGCTATCAATTATCAAAATAATCGTTTACAGCCCCAATTACAGCCCTACTCTTCATGCTTCAGTCATGGCTTGAGGCCCAGAAGTTCATAACAAACAATTAGATAGACAATGGCTGAAGCTAGAGTAAATGGGAAACTGTTGCTTAAAGTTAGCTCCACTAACTTCACATTGAAACAAGTCTGAAGCAACACATGTCATATGGTTTGAAAATTCTTGTTTTGAATCTATAAATATACATTTGGAATAAAGAAAGTGTAAATGAAAAGCACATGCTATTACCATAGTCCAAGGAACTGCCCAGGGCAGCTGTGACTGCATTACTAGTTAATCACCACCGTGTGTAGAGTGAATTAAAAATGTGAAGCATCTTTAAGTGTCCAAAATAGCGCTATATAAATCTGATGCATTATTTTTTATTATAACTAGATCAATATTGAAATCATATCATATTGTGTCACATTTTAACAGGAACTAGAACATAATATATTTTTAAATTCAAATTCAAAATCAGACCTAATTTATTTTCTCACAGCTCTTTCTGTCTTGCTTCTATGTGTGGGCCGAGGACATTAGCATATGATTTACAAAGACCTTCTTAACAAATGTGTAGTGAGCATGAAACAGGATCAGGATCTCTAGTTCTTGTTGAAACACATGAGGAAAGATAGAAAAGAGAGAGGACAACATTATATTCACACACACACACACACACACACACACACAATAATTGTTTATGGCTTCTTATTACAGGTCTGTGAAGTTGCTGTAGTGACGGACAGCCCCACATCACAGGCTTACTTTCCAACTGGGCCAGATGGACCAGTGCCACTGCTATTGCTGGACTCCATTCAACTTTCTGAAGTTATTGCTGAGCTCTTTACTTACCAAGTTATTAATATCCATGTTAGATGTGTTTAGAGCCTTGATATATGTAATTTTCACTTTATACATCATATAAACCTTTTTTTAGAGAGGGCATCACAACATTTTAATACACAATTTATGTTTTGTATAGTCCTAAAACACAACAGCAGTTGTCTTGGAGGACTATATAAAGTTGTTGATTGACCAACAAACACATAAGAGCCATTGGTCCATAGGGAGCGGGATGACCAATGTCCCGCTCCCTATGGACCAAGTTACACCAACAACTTCGGAAAACAACTTTCTCTATAGTATTCAACTCATGTACCAGCAGTTGTAATTCCTGTAAGTTCTCTAACAATTGCATTCTTTGTTCTCAAGCATAGCTGCATGACTGCTTTGTGACTATCATTAACTAATTTAGTCAATGCTCTCAAGTTATGTGAGAATTGGATATTACACGTAACAAAAACTTCAGCAGCAGGCTGTGTGTAAATATATACAAGTACATAGAATAATACACTAATGTTGTACACTAAACAAACAAATACCAACATACATGACGTCGAACAGTGGGGCTAAGCTCACATAACATGAATATTAAAACAAAAGCAGCTCTCAGAACATAGCCCTTAAGCACTAGGCCAGTGTTTCATCAGAATCATTATTATTGTAGCCACAAATATTCACACGTCAAAACTAGAGCAGATATGATATAAGTGCATGTTATAAATGCAAAATATGTTTTTCGCTCTTATGTCTTACAGGCTTCAGTGATTCAGTTTAGCCTTTCTCAACTAGGGCAAGAATAAATACAGACCTATTTACATGAAGGACATTGGGTTGTCCGTTCTGTCCCACTAAGACCATGCTCAGTTGACTTGAATAAAACGTCTTCAAAATATTTTAAGAATTGTTTAATAATTGCTATAGTCAATAACAGCACAGTTTAAACTCTATTCATAAAAACGTCACCACTGTGGGAACAAAAAAGGTTCTCTTCTTATCTTCTCTTCTCTTATTTTCTCCATATACATTAAATATGTAGCAGGCATTTAGGAAGTCCATATAAACTATCATTTGGACAAAGATGAGCGCATTGTAGTTTTGTTTGAGCGGAAAGAAATGGAACGGCTGTGGTCACGTGTAGCCTAAGCACCAATTTCCATCATATATTTCTTATTCACTAACTTTTAAAAGTTGAATAAGTGCCATTACGGTCTAATCCTAAATCATCTTATTGGCTGTTATAGTCGTACAAAAACAACAACAATGTATCCCCCACTTCTATTTCTTCAACAGCAGGATTATAAAATGCATTATGATAGTCTCCTGTAATAGTTAAATGCCAAAAGTATATATTGTATTTCTTCCACCTCTGAAGGCCAACCTCAAGGTAGTCAAGCTACGCTAAATCGATGTTATAAATTATTCAGTTTGTCAAGTCTCAGCCATCCGCAGAAGTTCTGAAAGTTTTACAGCTTTCTTGTACTTTCCTTTGTCTCACTCTTGTGCTATGGCAGCCAGCCCTATATAAAAGCAACGTATGAGCCAGAACTCACAAATACTCTCTCAGTGTTCAAATCTGCTGAACCATTTTGCATTCCTTATCATCTGCTTCAATAAAGCAGCTACAGAGAGAACACTGTTTTCTCAAACTTTTTACTGCTTTGACTATGCAGACATGTGACCTAGTGAGAGAAGAGAAGTCATGGAAAATGATGGATCAAGAAAGAATGAATTGTGTCCCCACTGGAGTGAACTGAATGCTGTCTAGCCTTTTCCTCTCTATTCCACTTTCATTCAACACCCACACGCCCCAACCACAACACAGCCTACAAATATATCACACAACCATCAAATTATCCCCAACCGATGAGCACGCCCACAACCCTCTCTCACATATGCGTCTGTTAATTATTTCATTCTGCAACAGCCACAGAGGGACAAAAGTGCCAACAACTACACATGAAAGAACGTTTAACTCCGGGGAATCGTCTTTCTGCAGTTCCATTTCTACGCTGTCATTTCCATCACGTTGCCATGTAACACCCCTCACCCCTTGACCCTCAACAAAACACTTATTTTCATTGGCACCACAGAGGCTTTAGTCAACAAGAACCAAAAGGAGTGTAGCATGCTCACAGGAAAGCCATATGACCTCATCACTCTCATCTTGACCAAACTTTCCTTCCGAAAGGTAGGCTAAACTTACCATTTTGTCCCTCCGGAGGGCTGCTCACGTCTGTTTCCATGTTAGAAGTATTTGATGATAAGCTCCGATATTAGCAAAGCCATAGCTGAAGTCGATGTCACTTTGAGTTAGCGCTCTGAACTGCAGTAGTTTGTTCCGTGAGTAGATTTTGGGTCAGGTCTCAAGTTCTGCTGCTGCCAGCTCAGCGTTACCACTGTGTTACATCTGTCTGACTGAGCCCCTCGCTTTGGAGAAGTGCTGAGAGAGGGAGGGCGAGAGAGCAGGGGGAGGCAGAGGGAGGAGAGTGCAGGAGGGAGAGGGAGGAGGGAGAGGAGAGAGCAAGGAGAAGCAGAGAGAGCAGGGGGAGGCAGAGGGAGGAGAGAGAGAGGAGAGAAGCAGAGGGAGAGTAGAGGCGCAGTTTCCATGTCGATGTGACGAGTCAGATTTGGGAAGGCTGATACAGAAGCAACGCATCGACTTGAAACACTTCGCAATGTCCCGTCAACAATAAAGGATTTATTAAGTTAAGTCAGAGTCAGACCATTTCATCTTTTTTTTCTACTTTGTTTTCCCACGAATCCTCAAAGAGCACCTGACCACCCACATTTACCCTCTATGATCCCTGTATGCACTCACTCCTCTTGTATTTTTGCATGAATGTTTCTACTATTGTTTACTAACAATATAATAAATCATTATTCATATGAATTTTAATCAGGGATTAAATTGTCTACCAATAAATACTTTATAGGTTGAGTTTCATGAATGTATTAATATCTGAAAACATTAAAACAAAGTCTTTTAGGCATTATAGAAATGTATGCTTTTTCAGATTATTGTCTGTGCCTTGCTGTTCATATTCAACTCAATTTATGCTTGTATAAATATAAATCACAAGAGCAGTCGTTTTGGAGGACTTAATGAGGTTGTTGATTTACAGACAACAGATCAGAGAATCAAATAGTTTGAACACAGGACATGGATGGATAACCAATGTCCATAAATGTCTCTAAATGTCCTTAAATGTCCCGGATCATTGGTGTCCTTAGACCCTCCATCATTGGTAATGAAAAGGGAAAAAAACAGAAACCCAGAATTCCTCTGCCACAGCTTAAAATCTTGTTGCGTTTGGGAATGCAAAGAAACAGCAATGTCTCCATCTACTGGTCACTAGTAAAACATTGGGTTAAATGCTAAAAAAAATGATTTTCAATTATTGAGCGTGTTCACTTAATCCAAGTTGAGTAAAGTAGGATGTAATTACTCACGGCTTTCGGTGGACATCTGGCGGTGGAATTCTGGAAAATTGGATTCCACCGGGACACTGATGGTGCGTCTCAAAAGATGTGTCTTACATGAGGCTGCACGCCGACCCTGGAAACAAAACGTCTTTAGACACAGAGAGACAAACAGCCACAGACAAACTCCAACAGAAACAGCTCTGATTAAAGGGTAAATGAGAGGAAACCTGACTTAGTATTGTTTTGATAAATGGCGAGGTGATCACACGATGATTTAGTATCACATTGGTCTTTGTCAAATTATACTGTGCTTTAGTGTACATTCCAAAGGTTTGGCTTTCACAGATTAGACTGACAAAAGAAGACTGATAGAGAGCCGAGAAATGGGTGAGTAAAGGACGTGTAAGAGAGCTGATGTCCTCCAAAGAGGCCGATAATAGCTTATCGACACTCACGCACACACACATGCACGCACACACACACACATGCATACACTTGCGCACACTCATTTGAATTTAATGCACCATTTTTTCTCTCCAACATGTTTTTTTTTCTTCTATCTGGGTTTCACATATACGGTATAGTGTGCAACTAACTGACATAAAAAAGTGAAACAGTAAATTAAATAAACTTTTGTTGCTACTGTATGTAATTTAATAGTGCCACATTTTGTCTGAATAAAATATAAAAGAAAATCTTTAAGTGTAGGGCTGGGAAAATACATCCTAGTTTTATCCTATGTTGTATTGTGGTTTAGCTACAATAGAAAGTATTCAATTGATAAACTTACATGCAGCAAAATAGATTACTTTATAAAAGTCTAGTTTTAAGTATTGTATACAGTCTTGGGCAGTAACGTCTTACTGTTCAAGTAAGACAAGGCAAGTTTATTTGTATAGCACAGTTCATACACAAGGCAACTCAAAGAGCTAAACAAAACAAGAAAGAAACAATCACACAAAATCATAAAAATCAGTATATTAAAAAAAAGAGTGAAGATACAAACCCTTCAGTTGAATACGCAGCTAAATGCAACTGTTTTAACCCAGATTTGAATATTGTCAGACTAGAAACCTGCCATACGAAGACTGTCCAAATCTGAGATACTTCCCCCCCATGTTTAGTCCTCCTCAGAGTCCGAGTTGGTTCATATAGCGCTAACATTATTTTGTATTACAAGTTATATGTGTGTGCGACGGAGCGTGTGTTGGCGTATACGGTTGTACCTTGTCTGTTGAAATCGACGTTATGGAAAGGTTAGTTTTTTATCCCAGGTGCTAAAGGTAAATTACAATTACAAGCAAAATTCAAGCATCCAATCACAGAAAATGCAGCAGGTTACTGACTCAAATGTTGAATTTAAAATGATCAATTAATTACCGTCTTGTATAATGTAAAATATAATGAGATGGAGCAAGAACACCGGTAATAACAGATTTGAGAGATAAATCTGAGCTGGCCCTCTGATCCCGCGCGCTGAGGTCCAAGGGCCAGCTCCAGCTCGCCCCCCCCCCCCCCCCCCCCCCCCCCTTTGCTTGATGTCTCTGGGTTTAAACATTGCATGACTAGTGTGGTCTTCTGTGTTTATTTTTTGTTTTTTTCTTGTTTTATTTGACACATCATAAAGTTTTAATTTATCTTTGATTTATAGATGGATAAATAACTGTATTACAGACTCAAGGTCCAGATCAACACAGACACAGACAAAAAAAAAACATATAAAGCTGGTAAATCTTTATATTTAAATCTGTTACTTTAGTCTCTGTAAAGCACGTTGGAAACTTCTGTTAATCTAGTAAATAAATTACAAGATTTGGAGACAGGACTGAGTTTTGAAAGCTATTTATTGTACTTTTTTGTATTGTGATAGTACTGAATTCGGATATAGGTGTACTGTTCCAGCACTAATAAATTAAATACTTATTTTAGCGAAGAAATATTAAAAAGTACCGCATAAGGAACACATAAGGCAAGAAAAGACAAGTTTATTTGTATAGCACGGGTTCACACACAAACAAAAGACAGGACAACACAACAAGACAGACAAAAAAACAAGATAGAAAACAAGATAGAGATAGAGATCACTCCTGAATTTTCCATTTCAGTGTTTCATCATAAATATACAGGGATGATAGTAATCTATTTAGAAAGAGTGTTATGGAAAACAAGACAATAGGAGACAGAAGGACATGACAGACTGGACAAACGGCTCTCACCTCCTCTTCACTCAGAAGCAGCATCTGACAGTCCGGGACCACACAGTACTTGTTCCACATGGGCTTCTCCTCATACGAGTGTCCACGTCCCATCCAGGCCCTGTTCAAGCCGTGCTCACCTGAGAGATAGTGCCAATATATATTTTAATCTTTAATGAAAGGACGCAGTGTAGAGACATTAAGCCTTTAATGCTCATTCCTTGAAGAAAGCAATATAAATGTATCTTTATATTTGTATTTTCTAAGATGTATGACCACTAAGAACACTTATTTTTAACCCCTAGTATATAGCCTTCTATCCAATGGTTGAGATGCAGTTTGATGGTAGAAGTGCCTAAAACCAAGTGCTAGAGATAACCCAAGGAGGTAGATGCCAGTTCCAAGTAGATATAGTGACTCAAAAAGTGATCCTCCAAATGGTTAAGGGAACCATTAAAGGGTTAAGCTCAATGAGGCAGATATGTTCTGCACCAGATTTTTAGCTAGATAGCTATTTTCCATCTGCAGTCCCTGGTTACAGAGAAATAAATTACAATATATCATGTGAAAGTGCATCCATCCGTTCTCAGTGTCAACCACACGACACTTTACCATTCACTACATTTCATTAATTCTGCATCAGTTAAAATGGCATTTCCTATATTTTCAACTATATTAAAACACATTAGATAGAACACATTCTACAATCAGTGCTGACAGCCACTTTTTCATTTCACAGGTAAAAGTATTGTATCTTGACCCTGATTGTGTGAATGCAGTATTACAGTACGTTTTGGAACACTACACAACACTGCCCGCGAGATAAGAGGAGTGTGTAGGTCTAGTTGTTACACGTGATGTTAATTAGACAATGTTTTGAAGCGGAGCAGGTGCGGAGTTGCGTGTTATTCTATACACCAATGGACACTAGCCAGCCATTGTGTGTTATCAAAGTTTAACAGACAGTGATAGTGCTGCCTTGTTCTATTCAATTAAATTTATTTTTCTATAGCCCTAAATCACAACAGTAGTTATCTCGGAGGACTTTACAAAACAGTTGAATTCCCCAGCACATATCAGAGAATCAAACAGTTATGCAATGATATAAAACAACACAAAGCCATTGGTCCATAAGGGGCATACGACCAATGACCATAAATGCTGATAGATGTCCATAAATGTTGTTGAACCACTGTTGTATCACCACTGTCCTTTCACCCTCCTGCATTGACAAGGACCAGAGGGAAAAAGGGAGAGGGAATTCTGTGGTTTTATTGGCCTGGGACCAGCACGTGATGCAATACTTTTGGAAATAAGGTAGACGCTGCTTTTAAATAATAATTTGTTATATAATTAGTTTAGAGGTTAAACCACTCATCGCTACTATGGGAGGCAGATTTAGCGCAATGTCATTAGACCACACTGTGTTTCAGCAGCAGATAAAAGTCTCCTGTCTCACAGCAGAGTTTTTTCGTAGTGGAAGTACAAAGGTCAAGCAGATGCAGGTATTACTCGTGTTAATGAAGTGTGAAACAGCTTAGCAAGTGGCAAAAATACAAATTACCAACATATAAATGGACATTCTTGTTGGCATTTGTGGAGAAATGTAGAAAGTATTAAGGTCACACAAACCGCTATACAATGTTTAGATACATGTTTATGTTTTAGGGCCTGAAATATAGATCAGCTTAGGTTATGTGTGTGCTGACGACAAGATTTTTAATAAAATTGGAATAACACTTTGCCATTTTGCCGGAACAACCCAGAAAACTGTGGAAGAGAGAAAAACATATGTAATAATCAAAAAGGCTCTGCAAACATCCACAAGCTGAAATATTATTGTATATGTAGTGTTTTTTTTATCCACAATTTAAATAAACAAACAGAGGCTATGTGCATGAGCTGAAAATAAGTTGTTAAAAATTATAATATAAAAACGACTACATGGTTTTAATTAGTGATGTTTCGTAGCTTTACACATGAGTTTAAATTATGGTTGTATTAAATAAAAAAATGTACTTTCAGAGTTTTTATTTTTATTTTATTTATTTTGATGCTACTGCTAGCTAGCTTGTGCGGTAAGCTAACACCGTGTATATTTAACAAAAGTACGTAAAATAGGCATACATACATAAATTGGCTAAAATAAGTTATATTTCTGAAGTGGTTTGGATTACCCATCGAAACCGGACTGCGGTTCGGTGCCATGCGGTGCTGTGCTTGTTCGCGCTGTTGACCAGACCCGGGCCAAGTCTGCTTCACTGACTTTTTCCCACCTGCAAACTTCATACGGACTCCCCATATTTAAATGAATGGGTATAAATCACGGATCTAAAATGGTATAACTACCCAATGACATTTTGAACCTTATAATAATTCCGATAAAACATTATTCTGTCCACAGATCTGTTTCCATCTAAGCAACAGAAAAAATAAATACAAATATATATTTAATCAAAACAAAAATTCCTCGAAGTTTGTCCAGTATTCTAAAAAGGTTAAAGGAAAAATATAGTTGCATTATGTAAAACATCAGCTAATATACTTTACACAAAGGTACCATAGGATATCTTCAGGTTTGTACAATGTTCGGTGTTCAATGTTTGTTTATTTCGAGCAAACAAGTGTACAAGAAACAAAAGTAGAATATCAAAATTGTGCATAGATAACCCTGAGCTACATTTACATAATACAAAATTATAGATATTATAATACACAAAATAAATAGATACTCTTTTTCCATATTCTTCTTTTCTGTAAGTATGTTTGTTTATAAAATATATACAATGTTGTTATATTTTAGTAGCTTACTCTCAAATATGTTGTTCCAAATTAAATTAAATGGTATCCACGTGAAAACAAGTCTGGCCTCCACAATGTACCAATATCCCAATGTGGCCCCCTGGAATGAAAGAGCTCTGACCACGGACTGGCCATGGCTCTGATGCTCTTTGATTGTATAGAGATAAACAAACAACGAGGTATCACATTGAAAAACAACTAACAGTTAAATATGGCCAAAGTGTGTTCTTACATAACACATAATACAGTTTTGAAGAAAAAATAATAATATTGAAAAGATAAATACATAAAAACAGTACATCAATAAACCGTGATGTGTCTGCTCAAACAATATCAAAATGACATATTTAGTCAAGTTTTTAAATGCTCTAAAGTTTGTGCTGCTCTGATGTGGAGTGGGAGATTAGTTTAGAATGTCTATGTTTGGGATCTGCGACAGACGCTCCCCTCTGCTCTTGGGGCGAGAGCAGGCACCTCCAGCAGCTGATCTGCAGACCTCAGTGCCCCTGGAAGCATGTCTATAGAGCCGTATTAATGCATAAAAAATCATCAACACTTTAAAATGGATTGCACTATGGTCTGGGAACCAATGAAGAGTTGTATATTTCCTCCTGGCGGTAAAGAGAGGACTAATCCAAGCTTACACAGAGTTACAATATTCAAGTTTTGATGTCATACAGGCATGGATTTAGCTTTCTGGATCTGGGAGAGAGGCTTTAACTTTGGAGTTTTAGATGGAAATGACTTGATTTTGTTATACGTTTTTTATGTTTACAATTCTGATTTTGTTTACAAAACTGATTTTTTGTGTGAAAAAATTCAATAGTGTATCCTTTATGGAAACACTGGCACAGCTATCTTTTATAAGCTGTCAGTATTTGTGATTTGTGTGAGTCTTATCTTTTGGTGTCTGTCTGTGTTTCTTCTTTTAGTTTTTACCTAGAGTCTGAATAAATAAATTACTCTAATATGGGTCTGTCACCTATACCTCCCGCTACAGTATATAAAACATAATTTAAACTGCACACTGTAGTTGGTGGTTATAATAGAATGTTGTTAAGCCAAGCATACCTAGATTTTTGGAAATGTAACCCATACATATAACAGAAGACCAAATACTTCTGTCAGAGGTTGTACAAGAATTCTTCATTCAAATGAAATACTAATTTTGTGGACAATTCAAACTTAGTCTTTCCATTCCCCTCCGGTAGAATAATACATTTAGACATGGCAATAGACACCTCTTGGATTCCAGAAAGGCACATTTTATCACTTACTAAAATGTATTGAGCCAGTGATTAATGTGGTGCCTTTTGTTAACACATTTACTGTCCTAGAACCAAAAGTGAAAGAAGACCAAGTATCATTGTGTCCCTGTGAACCAAGAAAAAAAAAACACACACATTTCACATTGGGTGAAAAGTGAAACGTCACTATCTGAAGAAATAAAGCTTTGAGTAATCTCGTATGGTGTTTACAAAGATACAGTATATGTGTTTTCCACTGAAGTGTGATGTGTCTATACAGTAATTCTCTGATCGCCCAGAATTAGCTTCAAAGCCTCCTGTTCACAACACCTGCTCTGTTGTATGCTGTGAGCCACAACAACACACCCCGGGCTAAATTACAAGTGACTACACCACAATAGCCCCACTAAAAATCCCCCATCTGCCTATCACATCACACACAGAGGGAGAGAGAGAGAGCTCCTTGCATGTGCACTGGATTGCTGTTGTTCTGCTGTGTCATTGTTTACAGGATGAGAAGCATGGGACGAGGAGATAAACGCCTCACACAGAACATCCTGACATTCATTTCACCTTGGAGTTGGATGCGATCGCTGATGGGTGACAGACTGGAGAGGTGACAGGAGGACAACAGAGTGGCATTTGGTGAACTGCCATAGGACGATATGACAGGTACAAAGTGTCTCTACAGCTATACTTCTCACTTATCTTGCTTTACTCATTCACTTATTTAGCACTTTTTTATTACACCTAAAGATCCATCACACAGCGTTATTCATTCACTCTGTTCTCTGTTGTGTAAACTACTGCTGCATTGCCACAACTGTCTGGGGGCAGACTGACAGAAGCAAGGCAGCTAATCTCTGCCGTCTGCCAATCACACACACACACAGACACACACACAAACACAAACACACACCATACTCATACTAGCTAATGTGGGTTAGTTGTCTTGCCCAAGGACACAACAACAGTTTTTGCATGTTAGAGGGGCCCAGATGTCTCCCATCACAGTATTAACCAGGCCCTATCCTGCTTATATTCTGAATTCTGTCAGACTTTTAAGGCTAAGCAGGGCAGGGTCTGGTTAATACTACGATGAGAGACCTCTGGGAACACCAGGGGCCACAGTGGGTTGACACTGTGGCATCTGGTGCGGCTGTAAAGTGCCAAACTGTTGTTGTGTCCTTAGGCAAGACACTTCATCTACATTGCCTAGAATGAGTCTGTGTGTGGGCGACTGATTGGTGGTGGCCGCAGGGGTCGATGGCGCATTCTCTGTCAGTCTGCCCTAGGGCATCTGTCGCTACAGCAGTAGTTTATGACCATTGTTTATGGAGTGAATGAATTCAGTGAATGTAAAACGTCTTTCAGTGTCTAAAAAAGTGCTATGGGAAAAACAAATCCATAAGAAACTGAGAATAACCTGTGGATTGTTCAGTAAGATGAAGAGATGCTTTATTAGTCCCACAGTCGGCAAATTTCAGATAAAACAATAAAGAGACACCACTTTGTAATGTGTACTCTCATTGCGTATTGTGCCCATTCCTCGACGAGCTCCTGTAATTTCTCACATTTTTCACATATTTCCTGCACACAATCCTTTGAAGCACTCACTTCCATCTGCTTGTAAGTACAAAAAAAATGCAATAAAATACAAGCTGTTGGAAACTATAGGCTTTAAAGGAGATAAATCAATAAATCATCTTTTTGCTTGGGTCCATCTATATGTGGCTGTGTTTTTTTTTACTGCATTCAGTAAGGTTCACTAATAATTATGTAACAATTCAAGTTTGTGTGTGTGTACGTGTGTCAGTGTGCCTGTGTGTGTGTTCATGTGCGTGCATGTGTGCTTCTGTAGTTTGAAATGTATTATGTAAAATGTATTTTTTTCTTTATTTTGTGGGTCAATACTTATGTAAAATCTCTCTGGGGACAAAATATGGGGAGAAAGTGGGACAAAAAACTAGCATTAACTACAACTACGTTCTAAGCAAGGAAATGACATCTCCATGACAACAAGCATGCAGCAGACCATGAGAAAAGTTTAAGGTAATTTATTACAACTTTACTCTAAAAATAATTTTCTTTTGTGAGTGGACATTGATGAAAAAGACCAATCTTTAACTTTCTTGTCTTCATATATAGGCTGGAAATGTACTACCATTTTGACTTTTTTTGCCATAATTAACATCACGTTGAAATTAAAATTTACGATGAATCCACAATATTTTCCTGACAAATTATAGCAAAATACTACAAATAGAGCAGATACTGATTCTTCTTATCACCAAGGGCAGCTATGCACAAATCACATAGACAAAATAGCCAAACAACCAGAGACAATGTTGCTTCATGAAACACAAAATGAGAGACAGGCATTTTAATACAACCAACAGAGAAGGAAGCATCACAAAGGCTTGAGGGTGATTTTGATGAAAGATTTAAGCTCATAACATGTTAGTTACTGCAATTAGGTCAGAATATTGCCCTGTTATACGGTCCATGCTTACTTCCCAGATGTTCTTTGGCTACTGAGCAGTTCCCAAGAGATGTCAACACTCCACTTCCACACAGTCATTACAGGAAAACATGCATCCATCCATCCATCCATCCATTTTCTACCCTTTAATCCATTTCTGGGTCAGGGGGGTGGCAGTCAGAGATGCCACCCAAGTCTCATAGCACCAGCCCCTCACTGACCCTCTGCAGGTGGTGAGTCCACAGGAGGACGGCTGCTCTCTGAGTGTGAGCATAGCCTTGATCTTTCAGTGGGGGCTTTGGGCAAAGTGGGGTTAAGTGTCTTGCCCAAGGACACAACGACAGCAGTCATCAGTGGGAGTCGGTGGAGAAGGTGCAGAGGTGGGAATTGAACCCACGACCTTCTGGGCTTAAGGCCAATGCTCTACCAACTGAGCTACTGTCGCCCGGAAAACATGCATAATCTATAAAATCCGACAGTTGCTGCAAATTATGTACCACGATTCAACGGTAGAAAACACAATGCTCTCACCTGACACAGACTCAGAAGACGTCTTTTCTTGCTGCATCTTGAGAAATGACTCTGCTTGCTGGTCTATAGTAGTAATAGTATGCCCATTATCAAGTGAGCACACACCCCCTTCACTGTACGTTGTGGTGACAAGGTCCTGGTCGTGGCACTTCGGGGGAGTGGACTCAGAAGAAAGCAAGAAAATATGAGCTCGCCGTGTTATCTAACCAAGTGTCACCGGCCTTTTTTTCATTTCTCCCTTTTCAGAGTTGAGTGTTCAAGCAGCAGCAGCAGTGCCTGGCAGCCTGCACATGTACTGTACTGCAGATGGAGATTGATGAGGCTGAGGCGGAGGTGGGTGGAGCCAGAGGAGAGCTTCTGGGAGGCTGAGAAGGAAGGAAAGGAGGAGCTGAGAGGAGGGACACTGGGGGAAGCAATCACCTTTATAGGCTTACTCGTTTGGGCAGCGTGCCATTACTCACCAGAACCACCCCTCCCCCTGGTGAGTACAACGCACACGGACTAAACCACTTAGAGGCTTACAAGAACCGCAACATCCAGTTGTGAGTGTGAAAGAGGTCTGGTGCTCGGGGAGGCGTCTTCACGAGGGGTCACGGCATCATCCGCAGAGCTGTCAAAACATGTCGAGAATAATTAGGGAGGACGCACTTTTCATATGCCCACGCTCTCGCAATCTATCAACTTCATTTGTTTTCATCCTGATTGAAAGTGAATTTATTATTGTGTTGTGTTGTATCCAGAAGTGAAAACACAGCCAATCAATGACAACTATTTATAACAGTATTTGAGTGGAGGCCATTTGGCAAGGCTTGTGTATTTGTATTGCATAGTTTATACGCAAGTGCTTAGCTAAACAAGATCATAAACAATCATAAAAGGCATTCAAATCATGAATCACAGTGTATTAAAAAGAGTGAAGATACAATCCCTCAGAACTGTTTTTAACCTGGATTTGAACATTGTCAGAGTAGAAGCCTGTCTCACATGTTCAGGAAGACTGTTTCAGATTTTAGCTGCGTATATCTGAAATGCTGCCTCCCCATGTTTAGTCCTGATTCTGGGCAGCAGTAGGAGGCCAGTCCCTGTGCTCCTTAGAGTCTGAGTTGATTCATAAGGCACTAACATGAGACGTACTGAATGTGCATTGTTGCGAGGCCATGAGAGACAAAAGCAGAGATGCTTGAAAGTCTATCATCTTTTTCCTTTTCCTTAGCTGTGCCTGACTCGATATTGGACTCCTTACTTTGTTATCAGCTCCATGACCAAATACTGCACGGCCGAAATCATTAGTCGACCATTAAAAATGCACTAAAATGGTGGTCACATCCTATTTGTTTTCATTGCACTCCCTCTTCTTTGTTTAGAATGCTCTAAAACATGGATGCATGTGTGTATGTGTTAGTATGCATGTGTGAGTATGCGTGTGTGTGTGTGTGTGTGTGTGTGTGTTAGGGTGAGTGAGTGTATGTGAAAGCGCAGGCCAGATCTGTGGATTGACATTACTCACAAATAATTCTTTCTTTGCCATGACACTTCTGAATATGTCCAAGTTGTTGTTGTTTCATATTCATGTAAGAACTTCATGAAACTAGTGCAGAGAATAACCCAATATAACATGTATTATTTTCTTTAGAACTCAGATATGTTGCTCTATTTATAGTTATGCAATGTGTTTGTGGAGACCGGTTCTGTAGTGCTATCATCATCGGATTTTTAAAATGACCAAAATTACGAATAAAAGTGATTATTACCCCCTTTAATTGTTTTAAATTGTATGTTGGTACAGTCCTAAATCACAACAGCAGTCGTACAATGGCTTTAAAAAGTCACCAAAAACAGATCAGAGAATCAAGTCGATTGAACACAGGAAATGCAATAACAACAAACACAGGAGACATTGGTCCATAGGGAGCAGGAGGACCATAAATGTGCATCATGTGTGGACCATGTGGGAGGCTGGAGAGAAATGTAAGGTTAGGACACTGGACTTCAATCATCTGTTCACTTTGGATGTACTTCCTTTAAGATGCCACACACTAAAGAAGTATCTATGTTAATTGTTATATAAAATGTAAATGGCTCTTTATTATATCGTTTGATAAATATTGTTCATTGTAGCAGAAATGTCACATTCATTAGTATTTACAATATTTACATTCCTTAGTTTACATGACCTTTTCACATGGTGCCTTCTTTGCTTACAGGATATACTGTAGTTATACATGCATATATATACACATACATATACAATCAATGCTTATTGGTCAATCAAGCAACAATATTTGCCCTAGTTTCACCATATATTGTATATTATGTTCCTACAAATACATTTCTATTTAAAAAATATGTTGTTTTTTTTTTCATTTACAAAGACAAACAGTTATTTTGGTCACTGCCAGTGTGAGCATGAGTCATACTTTTCATTAGTGTGATTGAGATAATGTACTACCTCCATCTAGTGAACAACCTGTAAACTGCATCGCGTTTTGATTTCTGTTGCAAAAAATGAGTTTTCCTTCTCATTCTTCCACACTCTGTCCCCGTCTTAGTCCTCGTCCTGTGTCTCTCGTCCTTTGCACATGTTGCTTTGTGCACTTCCTGATGCAGAGAGCAGGATTATGTAGTTCATCCATGTCGGCAGTTCCATTGTTACTCTTTGATGCCGGTCGGAAACACGTTCTGCAGAACAGGCTTTTTGCAGACACACACCATCCTAAAGCGTCCACTACAAACTCCAGCATACCACCACTGATGGGTCTCTGCCTCAGGGACGCAGACCAGGCCAGAAACAAATAAGATTTGTACAGAACTTTTCTATTATACTCCAAGAGAGTTTGTATGTATATATATATATATATATATATATATATATATATATATATATATATATATACAGTACATACTCTACATATACATTCATATATATACATATATATATATATATATATATATATATATATATATATATATATATATATATATATATATGAATGTATATGTAGAGTATGTACTGTATATATATATATATATATATATATATATATATATATATGAATGTATATGTAGAGTATGTACTGTATATATATATATATATATATAAATTTATATATGAATTATATAGCAATGTTTGACTTATTTTTCTTCACTTTATGCAATGGAAAGGTAGAAGTTACCAGTTATTTTGCCATAAAGGAGCCTATGTGAGGTATGGGATGCTGAATGCAGTTATATAAGCTGAGATATATTAAATATTTATCAACAAAATGAACTCATGCAGCTTTCAGCCGGTTGCGATGTATTATTATTTATTTAAAGTGTGCAGAGTAAGTTATGAGACCAGACACAATTATATTTATGCAAAAAATACGTATGTGATGGGAACAGAATCCAATTTAATAATCACAGTTTTGTTTTGTTTTTTTAACCCTGCTATAAAATATAACAGGTGAGTGAGGCGGTATAGTCCCTGAGCTGAGGGTAACAGGGCCAATAATGTCAAAAGAAACTGAATAAAACAATCAAAACAATACACAACACGGCATACATCATAGAAATAACATTTGTTTGCCAGCAGTGTGAGTGGTTAATGAAAAATCACTTCTCAGGAATCACTTCGTCCATCCACTGCAGGTATTCTGGGCTGCCGTCCTCCACAGGAAAACTGAGGACTTCTGGGGCTGCGTATGGATGGACAGACCTTGAATAAAACCACAGCGACATTATTTTCCCCCTGCCTGACGGAGCATAGTTATTGTTTATATAATGAAGTGGGCAGAACTCGCTCAAATACCAGTTATTAGCAGCTGCACAGCTTACCCCGCACGTCTTGGTTGCTCACTAACGGTTTTATACGATGGGTTTGTTTGCATACTGACGATAGATAACATTGGTACTGGATTTGAATTATTTATTCTGTGAAATACGTTCATCTTTCCACAAATGTGCGATGAACCACTGGAAACAAGGACAAGGCCACACCTGCATGTGAAAGTCAGATCCCGTCAGACCTCTGAGGCTGTGCAGGGCAGGGCCTGGTTAGTACTGTGATGGGAGACCTCTAGGAACACCAGGTGCCACAGTGGGGCGGTTGCAGCGGCCCACTGTGGAGAACTGTCATATCCTTAGGCAAAACACTTTACCCAAATTGTCTAGAAGGCATCTGGTTTGTGTGTGTGAATGGTTGGTGGTGGTCAGAGGGCTGATGGCAGTGATAGTTTATCACTACTGTGTTTGGAGTGAATGAATAATGACATGTGAAGCGTCTTTGAGTGTCCAGAAAAGCGCTATATAAAACCGATGCATTAATATTATTTTTATTACTATGAACTTGCCAATACATCAATTCTAGATTATGCTGATTTTGTTATTCCAAAGCACAACTTCCACCTGTCTCCATAATAATAATAATTCGGCGCTTTTTTTGGACACTCAAAGATGCTTAACATGTCAATATTCATGAGCTCCATACTCAGTGGCGATAAACTACTATTGTAGCCACAGCTGCCCTGAGGCTAAGTGACAGAAGGACGCAGTGACAGTTTGGCACTTTACAGCCCTAATGTGGCATCTGGTGTTCCCAGAGGTCTCCCATCACAGTACTAACCAGACCTCTGAGCTTAGCTTCAGAGGTCTGACAGGATCTGATTTTCACATACAGGTGTGGCTACTATCAAAGTCTACAACAGTTAGCAGATTCTTTCAACAGGACTCCGCACTGTGACATGTATACACAGTTATCCTTCACTGTCTGAAGGCAACATTCCCACAATTTATTTTTGGGGAAAATGCATATCCTTTATAACTAAAACAAAAACTAACATTGTTTACTTCAACAAACAATCTTCGCCACAGCGACTTTTTTTTTTTTTCCACTAGAGAAAAAGGAAATTGGAAAACATGCTTTTCAACACCAAGTCCTGACTGGAATCTTCTTCCACCTGCAGTTTGTTCGCTCACCTCCTGTAGTTTAAGAAAGCTGTGTTTCATCGTACACATGTCTGTAGCCATTTTTCAACTATTTTACTTTTGCTAATAAGTAAGTAATTAAGTAATAAGATAAGTGAGAGGGCTAACCACTCAGCCACCATGCTGATTTTTTTTTGTATATAGTATATTTTCTGAATTTCTCCCTTGAATGCATTTATGATGTTTTACCTTTTCTAAATGTATACCTCAGGGGAGAATACAGTTTATTCTAGGACTCTTCTGATTGTGCATCCATGTTTTGACTATGATGTGCCTTTCGATGTGTGACGTAACAATGACTATATAAACTGTACTGCCTTTATTCTGTCTGGGAGAAAGAAACAATTGAAACCACTGGAACTTGAGAGAAACTTAAAAAAACTTCCAGAGTTTGGCACACCACGATCCGTCTCTCTCTGGTTCATTCCTGACAGATTTGGTGGAGGATGTGCGGCTCAGTGTGCGCCAAACTCAGGAAGTTTATTTAAGTTTCTCTCAAGTTCCAGTGGTTTCAATTGTTTCTTTCTCCCAGACAGAATAAAGGCAGTACACAGTTTATATAGTCATTGTTACGTCACACATCGAAAGACATACGTGTCACACAGAGACAGTGCACATCATAGTCAAAACATGGATGCACAATCAGAAGAGTCCTTGTATAGTCTTGCAGTTGTCCTCCGTAGGTCAAATCGCTATCTAATCCTAACAATTCCCATCATCAAAGCAAAAATCATTCTGTGTTAAAAAATTACCTACAAACAACAAAATCTACACAAAGCTGATATTTTACATGGACGTCATTACCTCACATATTCTACGATTTGTTGAATCCGGGATGTTCTCGTTTTGACAAGCTGTAACAACAAAGGCACATAAGGAAATCAGCTCTTTCGGGGAAAACAGCCATTACTCATTAACTTACTCACCATCATAATTTCACTGGCTTCATGAAGTTCCCCCTTCCATAAGTACCTGACAAGAGACACAAGACAAGGTCATTCTTGCTTCAGAACAAGTGATAATATTATTTCTTTTGTAACGTGTTTGTCCCTGTTTTTCTATTCAGCTCAACTGCTCCTTGCCATAGTCCATTAGTTTTGTTCCCTTTGCGATTATGCATTAACATGAGAGGTTAATCTATTCAAACACACGCTGCAAAATGCTCTTTCATTTATAAATACTTAATCAACTGACAGAACAATCACGGGCGACCATTTACTGTTGTCAATGTTACCGTGGCAACTCAAAACCGTAACACATGTCGGTCTGACAAAGGCCGCACTTGTGGCTGGACAGAGCATTGTGCTGTTTGGAGAGCGATAATTACATTGTAGATGTCCTTGTGAGAATGTTAATACTGGCAGCAAGCCGTTTCTCCAGGATGGATCTAGGAGAGAAAAGAACAAAGCTAGAATTATCTGAAAAAAAAAAGGGTGTGATGGGAACAGAATTCATTGGAATAATCACAGTTTTGTTCTCTTCTTTTTTTTTTTTTAAACCTGCTATAATTTATGTGAGTGAAGAGGTAGTAGAAACTAAAGAAAACAATCAAAACAGTACATACATGGGATACATTCAGAAAAATATTTGGTTGTCAGCAATTGAGTGAAAAATAAAAAGAACAAAACATGATAAACTACACTAAACCACAAAAAATCGGAACAGAATTCAATTTAATAATCACAGTTTTGTTTGCTATAATATATGAGTTAAGCTGTAGCAGAACCTGAATAACACAATCAAAGTAACACATTACTAGCTTTTAACACCGCGTGAGTTGTGTGGTCCTCTGTTATTTATTTTATTGTTTTGTGTTTTTATTTATTTCATTGTCTTATATTTTTCTTTATTTTATTGTTTTTATGTTTTTCTTTATTCTATTGTTTTATGTTTTTATTATATTTTATTTTTTAAGTTTTTAATATATATATATATATATATATTTATGTTTTTATTATATTTAATTTTTTATGTTTTTATTGTTTTTTTATTGTTATGTATATTATAATATTGTGTTATGTTTGTTTATGTATATAGATAATTGCTTTACTTTAATTGTTTTTATTTTATATTTTCATTGTTTTTATTTAAACCTGGTAGACTTTTGTATTCTAATGTGCAGCACTGTGGAAACGTGTTTTATAAAATGTGCTTCATAAAAAAAGTGGATTGGATGCCCTAAAAAAAAACATTAGGTTGTCAGCAGTTGAGTAAAAACAAAAACATTCAAAATCATCGAAAGAACAAAACTCGGATGAACAGAAAAACTGCACAGAAAAACATATGTGATGGTGTCGAGAAATGAAGACAAGGCAGCGGCGATTGCTCCTGTACCACAGTTTATTTTCAAAGCCCTCCAGATCAGGGGCCTCCAACCTTTTTCAATCAGAGAGCTACTTTTATACAACAGAAGAGCTACCCCTTTTTTGCGGTCATAACAAAAAAATATGTAATAATTATGAAAAAACATGGAAAACAGATGTAAAAAAATACCATAATACTGTAAAACCCTATATTTATTCTTATCTAATGGGAATAGACACCATGGGACCAGAATTGAACTTAATAATCACAGTTTTGTCTTGTTTATTTAAACCCTGCTATAATATACTGTATAACAGGTGAGTGAAGTGGAAGTAGTCACTGAGCAGATAATTAACAAGGCCAGTAGAGTCCTGAGAAACGGAATAAAAGATTCAAAACAATACACAACATGGGAGACACCTCAGAAAGAACATTTGGTTGAGTGAAAAATTACAGTAGTAGTAGTAGTAGAAGAAGTAGTAATGGTTAATTTCTTCGGTGTTACAAGCATTAGATCTTAGATAATGCCTTGGATAGATAGATATAGATATAGTAGATAGATAGATAAACTGTATTGAACAGAACATGTAGCACAGAACTTCAACTTCAATAATCAAAATGATGTTATGCATGAGCTAATTCAAGATGGCACATTATACAGTTTCTCATATACCACCAATAACAGCAGCATGTAGCAGAACACTTGAAATTGTGTCCTGTCCTCTGTCCTGTTAATTCATGCTTTTTCTTTTTCTAAGTGATGCAAATGTTATTAAATGTATTATCTGCGCCGCCCCTATCGTCAGGCACAAGCTTTTGGGTGTAGGAGTTTAGCATATCTGGCACCCTCAATGCGGTGACTCACCCTGGCCTTGTCTTGACACTGTAAATAGATAGAGCTCATTAGTATTCAGCTAAAATGCCAACAAAGGAGGTGAAAGTGGAGACCAGTGTCCTTTCAAGTTTCTGGACTTTTGAAGTTCCTTGCTGTACTCTAGGCAGAAGCATTACATTGACTTTTTTTTTCTTTCAATTATTATCAGTTTTTAGGAGTTTTACAGTGAATGTTGTGATAAACTTGCCTTGCCTTGTCTTACCTTACATTTGTATCATATAAATATTCTGTACAAACAGACCAATCATATGAGCATAAAGAATAATACAGTAGAAACAAGACAAAATAAAATCATAACTACATTTAACATCACATACCCCCCCCCCCCCCCTTACTACCACCCCCACCCCCCACATTCACCCTCAAAATCCAGCCACGAACAGTTTTGCGTACTGTCCGATTACCTGTTCAGTCCTGTCTTACATTTGCCAAGTACAGTATATACTCAAGCCTAAAAAAATATGATTTCCTTCATAGACAAAAATGAGTGTACAGTGTCAGCTCACAAATCCAATCCAGTAAATGTGTCCGGACAATCAAGTTGCAGTTATGACCAATTTGGCCACGTAAGGATGCACAAATCATTTTCAACACCTCCGCAAAGTCAACAATCAATTTGTCTGGAATCTTACCTGGCAATATCCTTGGCTGTCTGCTCTGTCGGGCTGTTAATAAAGAGGACAGAGTGGTGGCCCGGTAGATAGTTTCCTGTGAAGATTGAATGAAGTCGCACCCCAATGGACCACAGGCCAGGATACAGACTCACCATCAGGACAAGCAGCTTCACAGAGAGAGAGAAAGAGAAGTGGACATGGATTAGGGGCCAGTGACATCTGATGGAAGATAACCATGTTTTTGCTGTCAACAGGACTGTGTGAGTAGTCTGCAGTTCCATGTTCTTGTGCCGGAATGTCAACACGGAATTAAGGGCCATCATGTTGGCATAGGGATTCATATTCATCCTCTTTAGCACAGTCTGGCACAGATAAATGGCTGGGATGCAGAGAGTGATCAAATGATAATCTGTCCTAGTTTTGCGGGACATGCAATTGGAACGCATAGTAAAATGTGTTCCAAAAGCTTGTCATGGTGTTTTGGTCTGTAGTTGGGGGTTAAAGGTAAAATGTAAAAACTTCTTACTCACCAGGCATGTGACAAAAAGAAAAGACCTTAGACCTGACCAAAAGAAAACGTCTTTGTGCCAGCGTTGGGACAGACACTCCATCCTGTGACTGGTGTCAAAAGTCATTTCTGATTATGAGAAAAGACTATAGCCATTTGAAAGGAAAGCAGGACACAACTCTTTCCTGCTCAGGGGGACAGACGGCTGGTCGGCCTGTGGCATCGAGTGACCAGTCTAAACGCGACCGGATGTCCTCGCCTTGTGATTGGTTGTTACGCACGCCCGTGTATGACCAAACATAATGCGTCAGGCCCTCGCGCTGGGATCGTAATCGGCTTTGAAATCGTCCGGACTGTCAAAACGCTTCTGACGTTGTACACGCTCACACACAGACACACACACACACACACACACACACACACAGACATAGACACACACGCACACTTACAGACACACGCACGCACACAGACACACGCAGACAAAAACACACACTTATAGACAAACGTAGACACGTGGACAGACAGGCACACGCGCACACCTACAGACACACGTAGACACACGCACACACAGACGCACACTCACACACACGTACGCAGACACACTAGTGCATGCACACGTACACGCACGCAAGCACACACAAACACACACACTCATGCACGCACAAATGCATACGTACATACACACACGTACACATGCATACATGCACACACGGTTATTATGTCAATAGGAGCGGCAAGCATCATGTTTGGACATTTAGGTTGTGTAAAACATTAAAACACAGGCTGTAATATTGGTTTTATACAGTGGCTCGAACGGGAGTATTTCGGTTTGAAACCCTGCTACAAGGAGGTTCGTAAAAAAAAAGAATAAAACAAAAAAAGTTAACATTTTATGCCAATTTGTCCCAAGGAAAGTACTGACGCCATAATGCACTTTGACAAGTTAATAGGCTGAGAAATCCTGGTATGCTTTCAACATAAGTGGATGTGCTACAGGACATGAAAAAGGTTTAGAAGAATAAAAGTTTCCTGATGACATGGGTGAACTTCTAGCAGACGTCCACGTGGGGGAGCTGTGGATCCACACACAATCTCCAGTCTCTGTTTGGTGGGAGGTTGAGCTGGAGACCAAATCAAATGTTGAAGGCTTATGTAGCTTGTAAAAAAAATCTTGCACAACACAATATTGATCAAGTGGAGACTCATACCCACCTGCAGTGACTCTTGACCAGGTTTTACGCGCTCATCTGGTTTTACAGATTCCTCCCGCATAAATCAAGCCCCCATCGCACTGCAAAAAGACAGAAACACAAAGAACAGGGCCAAACCAATTTATTTTAATATGTTAGTACCAGAGTTAAGTGAGAGCGCCTCATAGTTTAAAAAGCACTATTGTTCCCCATTCCACTGAACTGAGCAACAAAACTGAAGGAAAATCTTGCAATAATAATATGAATACTAATAATAATGAAAAAAAAACCCAGCTTTTCCTACTCGGGGTAACACAAAGTGGTCATAGCATAAATCATTCCATAAATCACATAAAAATCACAAAGGGCATTAAAAACAAACATCAAGATCATATGGAATATTGAAAACAAAATAGTTAAAATCACACAGGTAATTAAGACAAATTTAAAGAATAAAATCACACAAGGGATTCAAATAATAAACACACGGGCATTAAAAAGAGCGAGGATAAAATGCTTTAATTGTATGCACAGGCAAACAGAGCCGTCACATTTTCTGTCTCACAGTTTCAGGAAGACTGTTCCAGATTTTAGCTGCATAAATGTGAATCGCTGCCTCCCCTTGTGTAGTCGTGACCCTGGGCCCCAGCAGGAGGCTTTTTGTACTTCTCAGATTGTCAACATGGGTGAAGTTTTGCCCAAGGATACAACAACAATCTGCACTTTACAGCTGCAGCAAAACGAACGTGGTGTGTCCAGAGGTCTCCCATCACTGTATTACCCAGGTCCTGCAGGTATACGGACATCTCAGATTATTTTTGATTGATATGAAAGCAGAGATTACTCCTTTTGAAATGGGCCGATTTATAATAATTGGCCATAGTAGGTTTCAAGAGAGTGGCAGAACCTCCTTCGTTGTTCTGTGATTGAGATTAAGATTAAGAAATTCTTTATCGTCCCACAGTGGGGAAATTTCTGTGTTGCATCACAAGTTACTGAACAGTAGGAATGAGTAGCAGTGGCACACAGCCCAAGATAAGTGAACAATAGCTCTACTAATTAAAATAAAAATCTCTAACTCTAGCATCAAAGAACAAGTATAAAATCTCTATCTTGAACAAAATAATAAAAAAGAAAAATGTCTATGATTATGTACGATGTTAATGCTTGTTTTGTTCAGCCTTGTGTATGAAATGGGCTATACAAATAAACTTGCCTTGCTTATATTCTGACATTTGTTTGGCTAATGCAGCTGGTGAGATGGCCATTTGTCAATCAGCCAACTTCAGCTCTGTCAAAGCTAATCATAAATCTCAAGACAGCCTGAATCCAGTCAAAACAGTTTTACAATCCGGGTTATCGGCCCCTGGACAAGTCGGCTTAACGAGACTGGCCCCCTTATTAAATAGTTTGGACCACTCTGGTTTATGGTTGTCTCCTTAGGGTAATTTGTCTAGTGGCATTAGACCTATCTGTCAATGTCACTAGTGCACCCTGTCAGTGCAGTACCCAGGGGCCAATCTCCAGATGGTGATGCTGGGCTTGGTCGGGACTGGAGCTGAAGGATTTTACTGTTTGTGTATTTCATTGTTTTTATTAGATTTTTATAGTTTTCACTTCATACATCATGTTTTACTTATTCTATTTTCATACATATAAAGCTGGCAAACCGGTATATCTAAATGTGTTCCTTTTATCTCTGTGCAGCACTTGTTTGTTATAAAATGTGATGTATAAATAGATAGATAGACAGATACTTCTTTGATCCCGCGTAGGAAAAATTCAGGTGTCCAGCAGCAGAAACACATCCATATAAACACATAAGTACATTAATAATAAACATTTATAAACCTTCCTTCCTAACTAACATTTCTAACTAACTAACAATAGTAAGTAGGTAAGTAAGTGTTAATTCATATAATAATAATAATAATAATAATAGTAATAATAATAATAATAATAATGTATCTGTTTTATATACCGCTTTTTTGGACACTCAAAGACGCTTTACATGTCATTATTCCTTCACTTCAAACAGTGGTGATAAACTACTACTGTAGCCATAGCTGCCCTGGGGCACACTTACTTACACACTGACAGAAGCGAGGCAATCAGTATGTGCCATCGGCCCCTCTGACCACCACCAGCCATTCACACACACCACACTCATTCTAGGCAATGGGGTGAAGTGTCTTGCCTACCAACTGAGCTACTGTCGCCCTCATATAGCGCCTTATACAGACCAAGGTCACCCAAAGCGCTTTACAGTGTTCAGAAATAGTGCAATTTTTTTATTCAGACCGAAGGAAACAAGGATCTCTTAAAACAAGCAGAGATGGCTATTCCATCTGCTGGGGCTGAAGGGCTGTTTTTATGACTATTTTTTACTATTATTAGCTTCATTGAATGATCAATTTTATGTTTATTTTTGCTGCCTTATTTTTACACCTACATTTCTCCTATGGGGGATCAATAAAGTATCTGTCTATCTATCTCTGTATTTATCTAAAATGTTCCGTTCGGCAAAGCAGTGACAGGAGCCTGCCGCTAATAACAAATGAAGTGGATTGGATTGAATATCCTTTGGTGCATGTTTTGGGTGGTGGAGAAAACCAGACAGACCAGAGAAAACGCAACCAGACTCGTGGAAGAACCATGCAAACTCCACACAGGAATGCACAAGCCGACACAGGGTCAAACTCACGACCCTTTGAGAGCTAACCACTCAGCCACCATGCCACCTATATTTTCTCTTTAATTCCACCAAGGCTGTGGCAGTGACATTACCAGAGTGAATGGGGGACTGATGGGGGAGTGGAAAGTGGCCGCGCTGTGCAGGAGGTCAGTGGAGTCCTAATGAGAGACTCTGTGATTACCGGCGATGGAAGAACCTGTTCCTCCCAAAGAGGTTAATTAAAAAAATGGCCAGGTCCATATCAAGGAAGTCTCTCTCCATCTCTGCCCTGAACCCCCGCGACCTCTCCATCCTTTTCAGGGGAAGACGTGGCCATCCATCAGGCCTCTTTCTCGGTCTGGCTGCTGTTGAAATCCCACAGTGACTTAAACATAGAGAGGTATAGAGCTGCTGCAAGGGTTTGACAAGCAGCGGAGGAAAAACGCACGCACAAGATGGTGAAGACAGCGAGACAAGCTTGGTTCAAGTCCCACAGGTAATGAAAGCTCTTCCCTCTCAAGGATCACAAACATCAGATTTTGTCAATTTCCCATTCACTCCTTCTTCCTTTTCCCCTTCCATGTCAAAACCAGATTATCACCCAGACCTATCTATCAATCTACCTGCTTTATATTTTAAATTAGTATTTTGATAAATATATTTTTTTATTATCATTACTGTAACCCTATACTTGGAAAATATAATTATTGCCTTGTTTTTTTTATTATGAAAAATTGACCAATGGGATTCAAAGGCAAAAAAAATCTGTTTCAAACTTGCTTCAAGTAGATAAAGTGACTCAAAAAGTGATCCATTAAAGGATTAAAGACATATATTTTATAGATTTACCACATCCAAACATTGACTGTATACCATGACTAGGTTTTATAAATAATGTATGTGATCCTGGAGATGTGATGCACCATTATTTGCTCACAACAACTACCATTTTAATGTTGTTCAATGAGGAAATGCTTTTGCAGAAGCATGAAAGCGCTTACTACAATCTAAAGAAAACCCCCAGCTGTTCTGTTAAGATCCATCTTCTCTATTCCCCTTTTATTTCTCATAGCAGGGACAAAGTGTGCAAATTAGAGCGCACTGTAGGGACAGACTGAGGCAGAAGAATAAGGGGAGGAAAGATATGAGCAAAGACAGAGCGAGAGAGAAATACAGCGTTTTGCTTGATTGGCTTTGAAAGTGGACAGATAGCCCGGAGCATTCTCACAGAAGAAAAGT